TCTCCTATATACATTTCTCCTCTGCAGTTCAACAGTGCTGATTTCTCTTCATTGCTTTGCTCCCTGTGTGTGTTTCTCCCAGCCATATCTGGCATGTCCTGGTTTGATTTCTATTCATTTGTTCTTGGATAATTGCCACCACTAATTAAAAATACAGGTATGGCCTTTTTAAAATTTTTACCATAATATGTTTTACACTTAGTGAAGAAATTACATTTCAAAAGTTTTGAGGCAACATTGTATATAAACAATATCTATGAAATCCATTGATAATGCTAAGTTTAATATTGTATACTCGGCTGTGCTAATGTTTGCTGATCACTTTAAGAAGTCTAAATATGTTTTTGTTTTTTTTTATACGTTTTCTAAATCCTCACAGAAAATAATTCTGCTTTCACCATTTTAGTACTTGTCATTGCTTGCCTCTTTACAAAGCCTGCTGTTGCCACTATTTCACCATTCTTTCTTTTGAGTTACTTTTGTTTTTCAGTATTACAGCTTATGTTTGCTTAAATTATGACATGTTTCACTGTATCCAGTTCATCTTGCATCTCACTTCTGTCTGTATAGCTGTATTTGAGCCCTTAACATAATATTGAATTTTTCTTTCTTGCAACAAAATCAAGAAAGTCTTATATCAATGTCAGAAAGGTTTAGCAGTAACTGTCCAACATCTTTGGGATTATTTTATTCCGAAAGATTAGCAATGTAACCTTTTTAAGCAATACTTTGGTTAAATCAAGACATAACTACCTGCTTTTTTAGTTTTTTTCCTCTACTTCAACTAGTTAATTAAACCAAAAGAACAGCAGAGTGGATTTAATAGATCAGGGAAAAATGTCCTGCATTACTATTGTCTAGACTAAGCTGTAATATGCCTGTCCAAAGGATTAAAGAGCCAGAAAGAGACCAAACAGCTCTCAGAACTCCTAAAGCAGAAAATATCTACCCAAGTATCTGCGCTACTTGGTTCAAAACAGACACAAATATCATTAGAAATAAATCATGAAAAGAGCAAGTATATTCAGTAGCAATTGAGAAAACCGTCCACCCAGCAGCAGCTGCAACAAGATTGCAGGGATGAGAATAAGAGCATATCAAACTGTCAACCTGAGTCTTTAAAAATGATGCATTAGCCTTATGTGTGTAGATAACTTCTTACTTGTCACAGTTCTTTGACAAATATTAAATATTTCCATCACCTTATCAGTATGTGGGCCAAGGAGCATAGCAGACTGAAAGTGGAGACTGGTCTGAGATCCGTCAGAAGCAAGCAGGGCAGAAGGAACATCAGTGACATCAGAGAACACACAGATCTAGGAAGAGCTACTCCTGACAGACTGTCACACAGCAAAGTAGTGGAGACGAGCAGATACAGGGTGCAGGTCATCAGCAGTTCGATTACCTAAAACGGAAATTTTAAAGTTACTGGACTGTGGTAAAGAAAAAGGGTAATCATCCATGTCTTATAAAGTCACCTTTTGCAGGTCTAAGACTAATGCATGCTCTTAAAAAAAAAACAATATTGATACTTATTTTACATAAAGAGCTTTGCACAAAAATTAAATAAACTTTTCCAACAAACACAACATTAAATATTGTAAGGGTGAATTTTAAAGGTTAGCTGCCTGACTTAAAACTGAATTTGTTAAGGGAAATAAGTCAGTGAAGGGGGTTAAGAACAGAGTTAATATAATCTCTGAAGGCTAAGTGAGTGAGGCTATGTGCTGTCAAGGTATTGATGTGTTTGTTGAAGAGTTTGGAAAGTGAAGCCTAAGTGATGCTGTCACAGTAATTGAATCAGAAAATGATAAATAGCTCAGTAAAGTTTTAGAGGTAGAGAAGAAGACTGAAGGGTGAAAGAGAACAATATTTTTTTTGTGATCTTGATCTTGATCTGGTATTCAACTGTTAGATGAATGTCAATGAATGAGGCAAAAAAAGTAGGGTGTTGTAGCAAGGTTTTAGGGCATAAGTTGTTAGAAGATTCATTAAAAATTTGGGGTCATTTATTAACATCTGTTGTAGTTTCGTTGGAGAAAACTGTGTTGGATCTGTAATTTAAATATTGTAGGCGAGTTGGTATAAATACAGGGGGTTTGGAATTTGGTCTAAACATGGATGTACATGTTGTCCGCATAGCATGTTGTGACAAATAATGTGGCCAATTGGGAGGAGATGAAAGACAAATAGGTAAGGACAAAAAATAGATCAATGGAGAACTCCCCGTAACAGAAGGAGCTAGACTTGCTTACATAAATGAAGCGGTGTGTAACACAAATAATCGGAATCAGAAGAGGGCAGAGCTCTCCTAGCTAATGCCATTTGATGTCTCTGATATAACAATCCAAGGAGTTAAAGCACTGAGATTGTTTCATACATATTTATCTGCTTCCCACATTGTTAGAAAAAGTGTAATACTGTGTCCTTCTTAAGCAATCTTACCTGGGCTAAATTGATCAGCCATCCTCCCACTACTGACCAATTTGGCCATAGTCCTTTACAGCATGCATCCATGATATCCTGGTAGCTGTGTCGGACTCTGACCTTTGACACATCGTTGGAATCGTTTCTAAAATGTAGAAATATATCATTTGTTATTCTCTTCCATAGTCTCTTAAATCTTAGTGACTTTAAAATCTTAGCTTTACTTGTATGATTTTATTGACAAGAAATTATAGTTTAAAAGAGTCAGATCAACCAAGTCAAAGTTCAGCTGATCCATAAAGTAACTCTAAATCAGTGCTCTCGAACTCCATTCCTGTAGGGCTGTGGTCCTGCAACTTTTGTCTCCACATGAAAACACCTGACTTCAAAATGAGCTTATTAGTAGACCTGGACTGCTGCTGGTAAGGTGGGACAGCCATTTGATTTAGGTGTAGGGCAAAGGACATATCAAAAAGTTGCAGGACACCGACCCTCGAGGATTTCAGTTTGACATTTTCTCTAAATGATGCAGGAAGCTATAAAAAATAGCTGTACTCTAATAGAAACTCTACCTGTGTTCCTCTTCGTACAAACAGGCCACCAAACTCCTTCCTGTGTGGTTGCAGACCCAGGCTGAGAGCACCAGCACCACCAAGCCCATATAACCCGATTGAACCAGAGCAAAGGGCAATCCCAATACAAATATACCCTTAGAGAGTAAAACAAGAAATTAAGAATACATTTCTAAAATTGAAAGAGGTAACTGACAAAAAGATTATTCAAAAACAACTATTTTTGTCCCTTAAGTTTCTCACAAAGCATATTTGACAGTCATTTATTAATCTCCAATTTTCCTTTTTGTTACAGCAGTTTTTGTCTTGTAATCAATTTAAGATTTCCTTCTGTTCAAAATTGAATCACTTTTATCTCACATTGTTATTCAACAACTTGTCAAATTGGGTTTATTGCTGAAATTACAGTCAAATTTCAGGAAATGGACTGCCTTCATAGGTTCCTAAGAGGAGAGGACATGCTAGATACTGAAAGGCCCTTTATCCAAAATCCAGAATTGAGGTCAACATTCAGGCAATGGTCATTTGTAGGAAGGTAGCTGCTGCAATACTTAGCAAAGTATTTGGGTAAATCTCAGCAGTCATTAGGCAGAGTGATTAGCCTCGTGAGACCATCCTGATCACGCAAGCTTTCAAGATTTCACTCGCTAATCAGTCTGGAGACTCTCCGTTGAAGAAAATTTGGAGCCGTTCACCAAACGAATGTCCAATCAGCGTTGGCTTTGAGGCGGGTTGAGGTGTGACGCAATGAGAAGCGCAACAGTTCAGTCTAAAGAACATGGCGGCATCAGCCTATGAAACTAGCGTTAGCGTGGCTATCGAGCAAGTTTTATCGGAATTACAGAGTATTTCTTCACTGAAAGAAGAGCAAAACACTGCTCTGGAGGCTTTTCTCAGAGGAAAAGATGTTTTTGCTCTTCTCCCGACTGGTTTCGGCAAGAGTAGCCTGGCTGTTAGTACGTCATATGCTTGGTTGATCTGATTGGTTTATTTGGCCCGTCTATCACCAACATAGGCCAATCAGCTAACCAGTATTTTCGCCCCTTCCCAAAATTACTTCAACGGAAGGTTTCCAGATGGATATGCGGAGCAAATCCATCTGGCGGAGTCAGGTTACAGAGTGATGGCCAATGCTTAGATATCAGTTCAACATTTGATATCTGTCATAAGCTACTGTATAACACAAAGAAAGGTAAATCCATGGGCATCAGCTGGGTATACCACAAGAAACACTAGTGAGTGAGATATAAAATTTCCACTGGTAGTGGGTCAGTCAAAAATCTGGAAAGGAGGCAGACAGTGTCCTTAACTATACTGTAGGCCATAACTGAATAAGGTAGAAAATCAGGCATAGCAAAGGTGGAATAAGTTAATTACAGGGGTCGGCAACCCGTGGCTCCAGAGCAACATGCGTCTCTTTAATTTCCTGGAGCTTTATCAAAAATGTATGAAAACGGAAAAAGATGGATTTTTTGTTTTTTTGTGTTAATATGCTTCGCAGGAGGAAACAAACATTCATTATATTTTCCAATGCTGTAAAAGGAAGATTTACGTCATAGCCTGCAACACAGATGGCTGTTGTAAACAAACTGGCGGGTGTGTTTCAGGTCATGGATCCCAAAGGGAGAAAAAGGAAGATAGATGATGACAACACAGGAATCAAAGAAGAATGGGCCCAATCATTTGCTTTTGTTACCTATGCGGAAGGATTGTCTGCATGTTTGCTTCGTAATGAGAAGTTGCCAAGTAATAAAAAGATTAATTTGGAAAGGCATTTCCAGGTAGGTCATGCTAGATTTGAAGCCAAACACCAAGTTGTGAGAGAAAAATTGCGTTTGCAGAAATTCTGGATAAATTGCAGGAGCCCAAAGATAGCTTTTAAGAATTGAATTGCGTCTCAAAACTACACTGCAGCTGCTAGTTTTACAGTAATACAACCATGGAAAACTGTTCACAGATGGTTCTGTTGATTTTTCTGAGTTTTCAGTTTCACGTTGATCCATGTTTTTTCTTTGTTTTCTTTGGTGTTTTCTGGATATATTTGAGTTCTTAGGTTTTTCTTTACTTGCCCTCTGTTGATCTCTTGTGTTGGTCTCATTTTCTCTAGCTCCTTCTAGAAGCCTTTGTTAAAACCTGCTCCCAATCAGCTCATTAGCCCTGTCTTTGTTCAGTCTCCCATAAATACTCTCCCTGTGCAGTATCTCAGTGCTGGTTCATCGTCTTACCGCATCTTTCCTTGGCTCCTCATGCATGATTTCCCTCATGTCTCCATTGTTCTGGTTCGTTTTGCATTTTTATATTGGATTTTTTTTTTATTCCTGCCTCTGTTGCCTATAAGAACTAAAGAATTAAAACTACAAAACCCCACCTCTGCCTCCTCGCCTCTGGATGAGGGTCCTCAAAACCTCAAACAAGCCAGATTTATTAGAGTGAGGCAATATCAGCCAACCATTAATAGATGTTTTAACATAAAGTCATATGGCTATTTTTAAATATTTGGGTGTTTGCAACAGCTATTTCAGTTTGATATATCTAATAACTGATGGACACAGTAATTTTTTGGTATTGAATTGAGGTTTATTGGACTAACAGAAAATGTGCAATATGCTTTAAAACAAAACTTGACAGGTGCAAAAATGCGGGTACCCTAATCATTTAATAACTCTCAAATGATCTGAAAACAAAGTTTCTCCAAAATAGTCATTCAAGGGAAGGATACAAAAAAGTTGTCTCAGAGATTTAACTTGTCAGTTTCCACTGTGAGGAACATAGTAAGGAAATGGAAGACCACAAGAACAGTTCTTGTTAAGCCCAGAAGTGGCAGGCCAAGAAAAATATCAGAGAGGCAGAGAAGAAGAATGGTGAGAATGTTCAAGGACAAGTCACAGACCTCCTCCAAAGACCTGCAGCATTATCTTGCTGCAGATAGTGTCACTGTCCATCGTTCAACAATTCAGTGCACTTCGCACCAGGAGAAGCTGTATGGGAGAGTAATATGATAGAAGCCTTTTCTGCAAGCACGCCACAAACAGAATCGCTTGAGGTATGCAAAAGCACATTTGGACAAGCCAACTTCATTTTGGAATAAGGTCCTGTGGACTGACAAAACGAAGATTGAGTTGTTTGGTCATTAAAAAAAGGCGTTATGCAGGCGGCAAAAAAACACAGCGTTCCAAGAAAAACACTTGATACCCACTGTAAAATTTGGTAGAAGTTCCATCATGCTTTGGGGTTGCATTGCTAATGCTGGCACTGGGAATTTTGTTAAAGTTGAGGGTTGCATGGATTCCACTCAATATCAGCAGATTCTTGAAAATAATGTGCAAGAATCAGTTACGAAGTTGAAGTTACGCCGGAGATGGATATTTCAGCAAGACGATGATCCAAAAACACTGCTCCAAATCTACTCAGGCATTCATGCAGAGGAACAATTACAATGTGTTGGAATGGCCATCCCAATCCTCAGACCTGAACATCATTGAACATCTGTGGGATGATTTGAAGCACACTGTCCATGCTCGGCGACCATCAAAATTAACTGAACTGGATTTTTTTTTGCAAAGAATGTTAAAAAATCCCTTCTACCACGATACAGGAACTCATTTACAGTCACGGGAAGTGACTAGAGGTGGTTGTTTTTGCAAAAGGAGGGTCTACTAAATATAAATGTTTCTTTTTTTGCTAGGGTGCCCATGTTTTTGTCCTGTCAAATTTTGTTTTAATGCATACTGCACATTTTCTGTTAGTCCAATAAACCTCAATTGAATACTGAAATATTACTGTGTCCATCAATTATTACATATATCAAACTGAAATAGCTGTTGCAAACACCCAAATATTTAGAAATAAATAATTAAGATTAATAGGGGTGCCCAAACTTTTTCATATGATTGTAATACATTTTTTTTTATTTGTTTCTGTCTATTGGCATGGACTCCCCTTAAAAAAATTTTTTTTTTCTTTTTTTTTTATTCATGGACCATCCTGGCTGAATAAATAAGTAAATAAAAACATATTTTATTGTCTTAAAATGCCTGCAGCATCTACGAGACATTGTCTTTGTTATCCAAGGTACTAGTGCTTGTGATAAAGCTCTGCTCAGGCAGTAGCCACTGTTTGTTCTGCTGTGTTTACTACACAGCTCACACTGTTTGTGCTTTCATCGCCCCTAACAGGCCGCCATCTTGGTAGTCCAACAGCGTATTGAATTTATCACCACAAACTTGTGTTAGGATTTTTTAAATTAACATTTTAATGTATTTGGGTCTAGATTTCTACTGGGTCATTTTGACACAAAAAAATTATGCTTAATTCTAATATGTCGGTCAGGCTGCATGCTTTGCATGCTTTTGCATGCTTTTGCATGATTTTGGGTTGATTTTTTTATTTATTTATTTTTATTCATGGCTGTATGTTTGAAAAAGATCAAATATTTAGCATACACATGTTTTTCAAATCTACTTTTAAGTTTATATATTTAAAGTCTGTACACGATGAGCATGTTAACCAAAATCTAAAGTGAACTCAAACATGGCCAATCATGGCCTAAAATTGATTATGATTGGTTGAAAGTTCACATGTTTTTTGCTGCATCCAACAGATTACTTTCTATTTACCTGAATTTATTTTTCATCAAATCTGTCATATTCATATTAATGTATAAGGGGTGCTTAAAGCCATAAATATTGTTCTGTATAAACAGGACATAAGCATTTTAATTTTATGTCTCCTTTAAGAGGTACAGATTGTCTTAACGTCATAGTTAAATCAATACGAATGCTTGATCCAAGAAATCACGATCTTTCATTACTCTGTTAAAGGGAGTTCTTTAAAACTTCTTCCATAAATTTAGATTTAAGGCTTGCACCACAAACTGAGAAATTGACCTTCTTTTGATCAACTGTTTTTCTGATTAATACTTATCCATCTTAAACCATGCTATTTCTTGAACTTTTCAATAAAGCACAAGTTAGTGTTGGAGTACAAATTTTAATAAAACACACTGAAGTCTTCAGTTTTAATGTGAGTAAATTTAAAAACATTAAATAATTATCAATAACTTTACCAGTCTCTGTATTTTTACATAACACCCATTAAATTATAAGAAATCCAAATTAGCATGGGATAAAGACAGCTGAACAGCAAAGGAAGAGAAAAGAGATGAAAGAACTGTTCATGGTTGGATGATGAGAAGGCGAGAGGAGAGTTTTGGCGAGACGCCTGGAGAGTCTGAGGATGCAGGAGACCAGCAGGAGCCGATAGAAGAGGCGAGTCTGGCTTTGGCCTTATACCAAGACAGAAATGTATGTGTCTGCCAGAGAGGGAAGATTGAGGAGAGGGAGAGGAGGTAGAATAGGGGGGGCTATTGGGGGTGGGGTGGAGATGGGGCAGGCAGTGAGGGTGAACAGAGCGAAGGGACATGAGCGAGAGAGACTGTGGAAGGAGAGGTGAGGCGTCTTTGTAGAGAGCACAGGGTCGGATGATGGGAGATCAGAGGAGGCAACAAGCTACTTTGAGTAGGTCGTTGTGTTTAGAATGTTGGAACATGCAGATATTCAGACTCACAGAGAGATCCGTGGAAACACATCACACACTGCAGACACAAACACACACTGTGGATACATAAACAGACAAGTGAACATTCTCCCTTTTCAAGTTTCTATTTGGTAACTGCTGTCTGTTAGGCATATGCTGATGGAGCTTTGATGTTCAAATGGAGCGGCTGGGGATGAAAGCACTTTGAGAGAAAACTGACACAGAAGTATTTGATTTCATCTCTTTTTGCTCTTCTACTGCACTTATTTTTCTCTCTATGTTTTTGCCAGCTAATTGGTTAGTCGGTGCGCAACCTGAAGCAGCTCCCAATCACAAAAGAGCACAATGTTTTCTGTCCAATCTTTTGATACTGAAAAAGTTGCAGTGGAATTTGTCTGCTCTTTAACTTCAAATTGAATTCAAATCGAATTTTCCAGTGCACAATTTTTAATCCTTTATCTTCTACTTCATATCCAATATTTAATGCATGCGCATCTTTAAAATTGATGTTTAGGCTGCCCTGATATGAGCAGAACCAGACAGGTCAGACATTTAGGTAACAGGAACTGCTTTTTTTAAGCACAGGACAAGCCCCATAGTTTTATAAAAGTGTGTTAATGTTAGAGAGTCAATTAAAAAAAGGCAGTTTTATTTTCTACGTCACTGCTTACAAGTGAGCATCATTTCTCAAGAAATATACGCAGATGAAAAAATATAATTTGAGCCTAAAATAAGTCATATCTTGAATGTTTTTCACATTTTGTAAAGTTACACATACAAACAAGAATGTATTTTTTTTTTTACGTGATTTATAGATCACATAAAATAGCACATGCTTGTCAGATGGAGGAAAACATTTATGTGCTGGTAATGACAATGGAAAATTTGCAGTGTCCATTTGGTTATTAGCCTGTAATTGTTTTCAAATCCCTCAATACAATCTAGTGGAACCGCATTCAGAAGTCAACAAAGGATTCGACTTATGAGTAAAGCAACCTTACTATATGTAAGTACAGCTCTTTTGTGAAGAAATAATATCATAGAAAGAACAGAGTCCAGTGAAAAAAAGTTATTGGGAGTTTTTAAACAGTGTTAATATTATGGAACATTATAAAAAAATAGAAATAATCAAGGGAGAACTATTCAAGTTATGATCTAAAAACAGAAAAGGTGTACGTAACAATACATCAGTATTAATAAAAAAAAAAAAGACTGGCCAACAGCCCATTAAAGTCTGGAGCAGCTAAAGGATTCACAGCTCAAGTGAAGCTTTAAAGCTGACAGCAGGCAAATAAGCCCCTGTTGGAAGAAAAGTCAGAAATCCAGTTTGCATTTTGTTGTTTAGGGAATATGTAAAAGAATGTGATCCAGTCAAAAAGGAACAGTAACGTTTTGCTTAGCAAGGAAAACCCACAATATGTGTGGTAGAAACCGCACATCACCTTTCACACAGACTGAGCTAACATTATGTTGAGGGATACTTTTCTTCAGCAGTCACAAACTATTTATAGCGTATAGGAAAATTAATAAAGCTAAAAATGGGAAGATCCTTAGTAACTACTTCCCTCTCCAACAAAATTAGAACTCTTTCCTTACTCTTTAGCACTGGAGCTACACTACTGTAACACTCTTTAAGAGAAAGCACATCCGTGCTATTTAATGCATGAGTCAAAGACATATTTTTTCTTACTGCCTATAGAGGAGTCTTATTAAAATCCTAACAAAATGC